ACAGTCTCTGTCCATCTGGTAGATTTGAGGTTATCTGGTTCACTACATATCCAAAGCCCTGAAATGACATTAGAAGTGGAATTAGTGAGAAGAGCTTCTGTATTTTCTAATTAATTTTTGAAAGACGTGGGGTTAGTGTTGCCCCTCTCTGCCTGTCTTCTACGGTCCGTCTCGTTGCCAGTCTTTCTTCTAAATTAAATCCCCCCTCAAACAGTCCCTATGTTCGAGCTTGCAAGTATTTCCCTCCCATGTAGACACACCACTTCTGCCGTCCATCTCTTCCCTCACTCTCTTCGCCGCTAATCTCCCTGTGAATGGTTCACTCATCTAAACGCTTCCCTCCTCCTCTAAACCCCTCAGCCCCAGCATGTGACTGTGCTTTAAGAGCAATCCTTGATGTGGCGTTGGCGAGCGACAGATATGTGGATTTTCTTTGAGTCTGGAAGTCTGTGTCAGGTCAGGGTGGAAGTCAGAGGCAGTTTGAAATCATCAGCATATTTTAGGATTTGCAAAAAAAAAAAAAAAAAACTCCTCATTCAGAATCTACTTATGGGTGAATCCAGCTGTCAGTAATGCACGAGACTGCAAAATTCTGTCTGGGTTCCAAGTACCTTTTTCATGAGGATTTTCTTTATCCATGTTGCACAAGTTAAATAAATGTCTCCGGGTGTAATATATGTATTGCACTGCGTCTACATTGGAGCTGAGACTGGGATAACGCAAACTGCAAGTGTCGTTAGGACTAAAATCCATGGCATTTACATTTTTGCAGAACCGTAAAGGCTTTGTTTGAAGTTATTCCATGAAACATTTATGTGAACACTAAACTTACTGGGTATAAATAAGCTTCATGTGACTTATCTAGAAATGTTTCTTGCATGTTTAAAAAAACTTTTTTTGGAAAAAAAATCTTAAGTTTGAGGCCCAGGTTCTCAACCAGAAATTAATGGAATGGAATCCAGGGCAGGGGGATTCTTTGCCTCAGGTGGAGGAGTTTAAGGGTGCGTGCACACCAGCCCTGTTTAGTTTGCTTTAATCGAACTCTAGTCCATTTGCATAGAAAGTCCGGTTCATTTGGGGAGGTGTGAATGCACAATCGAACTCTGATGTGGACCAAAAAAATCCAACTCTGGTCCGTCTAAATACGTAGGTCTCAGTTCGGTTGAAGTTAACTCTAGCATGGCTCAAATGCATATGTGGATGCAAGCGGACCAGAGACCGATCCAAAAGTAGAAAGTGGACTACAGCGCGGGACATTCTGGGTAAATACAACCAAAAAAAATGCGCATGGTCTCCATGGTCTTCTGCCTTGTCTTCCGCTCATGTTGAGTCCATTGCTGAAAAATGTTTGGCACATGTGCCACAGATAAAACAGAAATCCTAAAACACTAAAATTTGATGCCACTCCATTTTTGTTTATATTTCCAGAAGAAGTAAGCTGCGCTCAGTGTCTTCTTCAGAGGTTTTCGTGTCGTTTCCTTCAGTAATTCTTGATGCAGCACCACCACAGGCAGGGGTGGGGGTGGGGGGTGGAACAAGTTGCTCAAAGGGTTTGGCTCGATTGACTCAGTACAGTGTGAATGCGAACTGTACCAGCTGAAAATGTAACAAATGTTCCAATTTTAGTCCCCAATCGAACCGAGCCTACCGGACTATCAGGTGTGAAAACATCCTAAGAATCTGGGCTTCTTGTTCAGGAGTGATGGTAAGATAAAGGGGGAGAGGGATCGACATATCGGGGCCTCATCTTCAGTAATGAGGGCCTTGCTTTAGTCAGTCATGGTGAATAAAGAGTTAAGTCAAAAGCAAAGCTCTTGATTTACTGGCCTATCTATGTTCCAACCATCACCTATAGTCTTGAGGTTTGGATCATGACCGAAAGATTAAGATCCCCAACCCAAATGGCCAAATTGAGCTTCCTCCTTGGGGTGGCCATGAGGCTCAGCTGTGGAGACAAGGTGAGGATCTCCGTCATCCAGGGGGAGCTCAGGGTGGAGCTGCTGCACCTCTGCATCCAAAAGAGTCAGTTGAGGTGGCTCATGCATCTGTTTTGTGTGTTTTTCAAGATGTGAAGAAGTGCTACAGCTAGCTGCTGTTACCACTATTTGTGCTTGTAAATAGTTGTTATAATCCAGTTTAAATAAGTGCAATATGAAACTTATGGCAATTTCAAAGTTTATAAAATTGATTTCATAGCAACCAGTATGACATCTTTTAGAATGGGGTTGTTTTAAGATGATAGAAGCCCACTGGTCATAATGGTCTTATCAGTCCTACTTGGACTAGCCGTTAGCTCATCAATCAAACTGAGGTTGCTCAAAGAGTTTCCACAACAAGAGGATATTAATTGTTCATGCCCTTTTCCATAAAACCCTGTTTCTTTTTGATCTAATTCTCTTCTATTCTAGCATTTAATTTGAAAGCACGTCTTTGTTTGTCTGCACAGTGTGTCCCACCTCTTGAAGTGAAAGACCTGTTTCAGGACATTAAGGATGGTGTGATGCTGCTGGCTCTCCTGGAAGTCCTCTCTGGACAAAAACTGGTGAGTCTTTGTGGGTCATTTCACCATCTTGTGACTCGGCCGCACACTTCAAACACTTCATTCTCTCTGAGCTGGATTACAGAACACCCGAAGCTGCTGTAACGTGGCTTGTTCTGATGTGATAGAGAAATTGTGTCGTTTTTCATTCTTTGTTTGCACCGCAGCCGTCGGTTTCATTGGAGCTGCAGAATTAATGTAGTGAATGTGAAATGAGCCTCAATTACATGGAAAGGCTCATTGATTTGCTTGTATTAGGATGTTTGAATTGTGAAGGGAAGCCCAAGTTAACAAAGACAGACCAGAGTTCACACACACAGCACAGAGACACACACAGCTCAAGGATTTAACTTGGCCAATATTGCCTGGGGTCTAACATGTATGTCCTATTGATCTGGTTGCTTGTAGTCAAACACAGCCTTGACTGGACCTCTGCAACTTTCTCGTTATTTCAGAATCTGGACAATAGATTTTAGCTCTACTGTGAGATCGTTATAATTTTTTTCATGTATTTAAAGTGAATGTCTAAATTTCCTTCATAGTTTTCCTTTCTGTCCATGGTTGCCTTCTTTCTTTGTCTATTGTTCTCCCATTCCCTCCCAGCCCTGTGAGCAGGGCAAGAAGCTAAAGAGGATCCACTGGGTCGCCAACATCGGTACAGCTCTTAAGTTCCTCGAGGGTAGGAAGGTAAGAGTTCAATGTCGTCTTTTTATGTGTTTTTTTTTTTATTGCTTTTTTCTACCGTCGTCTTCTTGCTCAGAGCCTCGTGGGTGCAAATATTGAATCTTGACCTTCAGTGACCCGCTCCCCCCCCCCTTCCTCACAATTCCCACATCTATCCTGAAACCAGTATTTTCTGTTTTTTATGTTTCCGCATTACATTTTGTTGGCTAAATCTGACTCTGCCAGAAATTTTCCATAAATAATTCATTTAATTTAGTTGCTTGGATGCTTGTAAGTGATGGAAAAGTCTTTGAAAATCAAATTATTGGACTAATTCTGTCTCTTTAATCGATTTGTCGTACTTGTTGGTCCTGCGCATTACGTTCACTTTATCATATTAGTGTTTAGGGTTGTTTGCGCCATTTGTTTGCTTCACTTATGATTCAAAAAGTGCTTTGTTTCCCCCCGCTAGTTCATCAATAGAATTACATTAAAAATACTCAAAATGATTTTAGTTGTAATTTTCTGAATGCATCATCTGCCCAACATGAGAGTGTGGAAACCAATTCTTGAAGCTTTGCATGGCTCATCTTTGGATATACATAAATAAGCCATAAGTATGAGCTGGAGTCTGCAGGGACATTGATTTCTTCTTCGCTGTGACAGGGTTAAAACTTTAAATCCTTTGGCAGTAATCTGCATTCTAGAGATGAGACATCAGTGGGCACTTCACCATTAATGGCTGTGTGCGCGAGGCTCTTTACATCTGTAAGTTGAGAATTAATCACAAAATGTGCCGTGTGGAACTGATTTGCACACACGTGGTGTTGACGTTACAAGGATGTTTGCTCATATATGGTTGCGCTCTGAGGTTTGTGATGTTTAAATCATATTTGGATCGTGTTGAAACTCCTCATCACATACATTTAACTGGGGAGTGAATAGTCTCAGGACTAAAAATACCCAGATCTGCAACTTGTAATTGTTTTCTTTGCTAATCTGTTTTTTGTTTTCCTCTGAAAGCTGTGAGCTTATCACATTTCCATAATAGATTTCAAGACTGGTAGTCTGTTGGCCCAACTCTGAAATGGATGATACTGGATGATGTTATAAGAAAAGGTGTTGCTTATAGGAATGTTTTATTGTTTGGTTTTCAAACCCGCCAGCTTCGACTTATGAATCATTCAGATTTGAGCTGCAGAGTACATCAAAACATTACAGTAGTCCCTCGTTTATTGCGGGGGTTACATTCAAAAAATGTTTCTAACCCTAAAGGATAAACCAGAGTTGTGTAAAATCCCAGAGAAGTTGAATGTCAATGCATCTCTCATGTCTGTGCTCCATCTTTCCTGGATCTTAGACGCTGTTCATCCGCTGTAGTTTATTTTCTCATGCTTCTTTTGTACTTCACTTTTCCATCTTCGTCGACGTGAATGAATACAAAGACTAAACAGAAAGTGGGTTCGAAATTATTTTTATATTACACAAACACAGATTTTAAATATGATTTAAACTTTTGCACAGTACGCTACTTTGCAGTCACTCGTGTGGATGGCTATTCGTCCAAACTTATTGTTTGTACCAAATGTCTACTTCCACATGTCTGCCTGGTTTTTTTTTTGCTCCTGTTACTGTGTGTGTGCTGGAACCAAATACTTGGGCTTATCATCTACACACTTCTGGTTTGATTTATCGGGGTAACCTGGTGTGATTTCTAATATAAAATCATGTATTACATGTTTTCCTTATCAGCTGCCATCCCACATTTCTCCACGCTGCCTTTTCCAGCCCCCATTCTCCTCCTCTGTTAGTTCACCTACATGGAGTGGTTGTTATTGCCATACGGTGACCCGTTGTGCTGCAGCGTCTCAGTAATCTGACCCTGCGTTTGATAATATAGAATACTTCATTATATCACAAGATACAGCCCTCTCTTCCCCTCCCCTCACGTCCAGCCTTTCTTTCTGTTCGTCTCTGCTGGATATAATCCCTGTTGCCTGTGTAGCGGTGATACATCTCCACTCTCAGCTAACCACTCGTGTTATCTCACCTTTGAGAAGTATCTGCACCCTTGCAGTCAATGAGATGTTTGCTTTCAATCAAATGCATCTTCAGAGCCTTCAGCTTCTCTCTCCCTCCCCAACTTTTACTCCCATTTGTCTTCTCTTATCTGCCCACAGTCTGCCTACAGAGGATCTCCGGTCAGTATTCACAAAGTTCCCTCTCTGCTTTGTTCAGGACATGAAGTAGCTCAGAAATATCTGCATCTTGCTGTATCAAGGATTACATCTTCTCTGTGTATTGCTCATTTTGGGAAAACAAATGTACCTCTGATTTACCAGATTGAGGGAAGTTGTATCTCCCTTGTCCAAATATACAGACTTCTAGTAAACGCTTTGTGAATAATCCAGGAATAGGTAGCTATCTTGAGTTATGTAGCTCATAATTAGAAAAGTACAACGGTGACTTTATCCTTTTATTGTCACAGATCAAGTTGGTGAACATAAACTCCACAGACATTGTGGATGGACGGCCATCAATTGTTCTGGGGTTGGTGTGGACGATCATCCTCTATTTTCAGGTAACTGTTTACATAAATGCCGCTACTCAGATGATCGAATGCATCGTACAAATTTCTGTCTGAATTTCAAGTTTAGTAGTAAGTAAGTAAACTTTATTTATATATCACTTTTCACAATCACAAAATGCTGTACAGAAATACAAAATACAGGCTTATAATAAAATAATAACAACTGATTAATAAAAACAGTAAGTACAGCTGATAAAAACAATAAATAAAGCATTTAACTAAAAGCTTGTCTGAATAAAATTGTCTTAAGATGCCTTTTAAAGGAATCAATAGAGATGGCCACACGAAAAGACAGGCAGGGCATTCCATAGTCGGGGGGCTACGGCCTGAAAGGAAAGGTCACCCAGAGTTTTAAACCAGGTCTTATTAAGAATTATATATGCCGCTGGGGAAATATATATTTTTTGGGTGAGTCTCTTCCTCAAGTAGAGGAATTTGAGCATCTGAGACTCTTATTTTACGAGTGATGGTAAAATGGAGCGGGAAGTGGATTGACGGACCGGAGCCTCGTCAACAGTAATGAGGGTGTTGCTCCCATCTGTTACACTGAGATAGGATCTGAGTCAAAATGTAAAGAATTCAATTTACTGGTTCATCAACGTTTCAGCTGTCACCTCTGGTCAGGAGGTGTGGATCATGACCAAAAGAATGTGATCCTAGACAGAAGCAGCTGAAATGAGCTCCCTCTGTAAGGTGCCCGGGCTGAGCCTTAGAGTGAGGAGCTCCATTGTCCAGGTGAGCTCAGAGTAGAGCTGCTTCATGTCAGCAGCTGAAGTAGTGTAGGCATCTGATTAGGATGCCTCCAGCAGGACACCCCTCTCTGGTAGTTTTCTAAACCGATCAGCATATCCAAAACATACTGGAGGGATTATATGTTATTTTTGACCTGAGAATGCCTTGGAGCTCACCAGGAAGAGCAGGAGAATGTGGCTGGGCAGAAGGATGTCTGCGTTTCCCCCTGAATCTGCTTCATCTAGACTGTTTCACAAGACGCTTCAGAGCCAGATCGGCCGATGTGGAAAAAGTAAACCACGATGCTGCAGCTCAGTGATGTGAGGAAGTGATAACATTAGTATTTGACTGCCCACTCGCAGGATTAAACAACAAACAGATTTATTACTGAGGGAATATCAACGATGACACAGCAACCTTGTAGTTAGTTTAAAAACGTTAATAACAAAGAGGATCACTAACGTGATTTATTTCATCCTGTTTTGTAATTAACATGAGGTAGATGTCCGGCACACATTAAGAGTGTTGCGCTCCACATCAATGCAGCTGAGTTCTGCTCCACGCCTCTTTAGCTTCATCTGTTATTTATAAACGGCATGCAGAAAAAGACAAACTTGGCTGTGCAACCAGTTAGAACATCCATGCCAAATCAAGCTCTTACAGGCGTTTCTGACACATATGTAAACACAAACCTAATCGGAGAACATTACAGTCTCTGAGCAAGATCTGAGTAAATGTCAGCAACCTGAGGACGTTAGAGAAATCTACAACACTGGTAAATGTTTTAATCACTGCTTGACATGCTGGCAGGTTTTATTTATGGATTTCCCGTCTTCTGTTTGTGTTTTATGTTTGACAAACAATAAATGTTCCACGTTTGATCAGCAGGCATGCACTGAAGTATGGGAATACAGCATGTTTTAAAATGGGTGCCCTAAAATCACGCACATGTTCGGCGTTTTTTTTTTCTTTCACAAAGACATCATAGAATAATTAACAAGGCGCCATTTATTTAACTCTAAAATAAAAGTTAAGAAAGCAGTGAAGATTGATAAAGAAATAAATGAGCTTGTGTTCAAAGAAACTAACATGAAATGTAATAGTTATTCTGATGGCAACGAGAAAACGTTGATTTGAAATCCATTTTTGGAGCACTGATGTAAATGTATACTTTATACTCTAATTGCTTAGATTACTATCTTCTCCATTTCCCCCTTTTAAAATATGTAAATTCACAAGTAGAATTCTTCTTGGATCTCTCTGAATTCAATTTATAAGATAATGTAATTGTTTCAACATTCTAACGTCCACATTAATCTTAACCATGCGCAGTGGAGTTGGCAGTAAAATACATTTTATACACATCTTATATTTTCACAGGTGTGTTTTGTCGCTCACAGACAGCCCAGCAGAGACAGCAAATAATAAGGTTGATCCAACATGTGCTGGTTTTTCTTGTCCCTACAGATTGAAGAGCTAACCAGCAGCCTACCAGAACTCCAGGCCTCGTCTAGCAGCACCTCCTCTGTAGACAGCTCCACCAGCAGCATTGACACCACCAGCCCTCCTGTCAAAAGGAAACCTCTGCCTCCTCTGCAGGGTGGAGCCAGGAAGGCCCTGCTGAGATGGGTTCAGCAGACAGCGACCAAGTATTTAACATATCTTTGCAAAAACAAATGTTCTGAGTGCTATATTATTCCAAATGAGCGTGTCTGCTGACCTTCTGAACTTCTGTTGTTCGTAGACGTTTAGGGCTTGAGGTGAAGGACTTTGGACCCAGCTGGCGCACCGGTTTAGCGTTTTTTGCCGTTATCAATGCCCTCCGGCCTAACCTGGTCGACATGGAGCAGATATGGAGGAGGCCAAATCGAGAAAATCTGCACGAAGCCTTCAAGTTGGCTGAGACCGAGTTAGGCATTCCTCAGCTTCTTGATCCAGAAGGTGAACATTTTCTGTATCATTTCTTATTTTATGGCGAAAATATATTTAAACCGAGCATCTAGCATTATGGTATTTATATTTAATTGCATTATTTTCATAATCTGCTGTATTGGTTTTAACAGAAATCAGGCTGGCTTTAATGCTGTTTAAATCTGTTTTACCTAAATTTAAATCAGCAGCATCTCCTCAGTGTCCTAAAGGCTAAAGTACAGTAGTGGATCTGTCACTGCACTGAAGTGCACCTCTGTGTCATTGCCAAACACCATCTGTGCCCCTTCACGCCTGCCCTTCAGAGTGATCTCTGACAAATCGAGCCTGACATCGGGATAATTAAGGTCCATTAGGCCGTGAGATTCGGCATGGCAGTGTCTCCAAACCGAACTCAGACACTGATGTGAAACACCGACAGTTGTTTTCTTGTGAGATGCTGCTGCCTGTCTGTTTAAGCCGAACCTCTTCCTATTGGTGGCCTTATTGTTCTACCTGAAGGGAAAATGATGAACTTACAGTCAACTCCAGCTTTTTGTGGTTTCTTTCTCAGATGTGGATGTGGACAAGCCGGATGAGAAATCTGTTATGACGTACGTCGCCCAGTTCTTGAGGCATCATTCTGACCGAAAGCAGAGCGACTCGGAGGGGCGGCATGACGAAGAGGTAACCTGGCTCTCAGACTTGTCCATGTTCGTCATTGTCTTCTCTTTTTCTGAAACTGAAATATTGTCTCCCAAATGGCACCAGATGTGCATATTTAATAAACTGCTTTTTGATTTTGTTCAGTCCTAACTTAAATCAACGAAAGAAACTAAACAGTAAAACATCAATGTTTGTGATCCTTCTCTGGTCTTGCAGTGTCTTGTAATATGTTCATCTGTTATTTCTACTCGTCTCTTTTTTTTCATGTCTTTGTGGCATTTCTGTGTGCTGACTGCTTTCCTGTGGTTGTTTGCTGAAATCTGTCCTGCAGCATGATGTTGCTCCTCGTGATATAGAGGAAATGTTTGAGGTAGGTCATGTAGCGCCCAATTAATTTAACTAGAAACAATGCACATTAACATTTGCTATACATTCAGCATTAGCTTTAAGTTTATTTTTCTGGTTCTTAAGTCCTGCAGTACTGTACATCAGCAATCAGATTAAACATCAATTTCCATGTCAGAATAGATCCTGTTTGCTAATATCGGCTCACCTGAAGTGACATTTTAGACCCAGGGGTGTCAGAACGACGACAACAGGAGGATGTCCTTTTTAATAAGATGTGATATTGCCATTTATGAACGCAGCCACCTCGTGCTGTGGATGCTGGTCCCATTAGCATGACAATGAAAGCCTCTGGCATCAGCAGTTTGAATTCATACAGCCTGTTTGAGGAAAGGATAGAGAATAGAAAAAGCTGTGTTTTTTTTAAGCTAAAAGTACCTTAACGCTGCTTTAACTACTTGTTTTCTGCATCATAATGTGTTTAGTCACAGATAATGCTTGGTTTAGTTCTTTAACAACTCTTAATTGCATATCAGTGCTTGTCCTGATCTTTGTGTCTACACTGGTTCTGTTAGAGCTCAGTGCATTTCATTACAATATTCTACTACAGAGGCAATATATGATATTGGGATTACAGGAACAGCTCTAAATTTGTTTAAATCATATTTATCTGATATATTCCAATTTGTAAATGTAAATAATGAATTGTCTTCATACACCAAAGTTAGTTATGGAGTTCCTCAGGGTTCAGTGCTTGGAACAATACTTTTTACCTAATATATGCTTCCATTAGGTAAAGTTATTAAACAGCATGGGATACATTTTCATTGTCATTTTATTCATTATCCCATACAACCAAACATACAACCAACCATGCACTATACAAACTACCTTGTATAAAATAATGCATTTTCATGTATAAAACAAAGCAAAATGTTTAAAGACAGTGTAAAGCATTTTTGGATACAGCTGATTTTGTGTGTTAAAACAGTCAAGAAGAATAAAGTTTTAAATTTCTACCTAAGAACAAACTGAGACTGAACAGCTCTCAGACTGAATCATCTATCACACAAGCTTGTTAGCAGCGCACTGTTATCGCCATGGTTTGTTGAAATCCAGAGAAACAGTAGGAGGTCTCAGACCAAGTATTGTGTTTAAGCTGAGTGTTGTTGGCAGCTGTGAGTTTTATTCTATAGGGAGAATGGATTTAGGAAAGCTCATATTTAAACACTCATTCTTCCTTTCATCCTATTGTCAATTTTTCCACACTTCCCTCTATCTAATTAAACATTTTGTCATTTTTGTCGTCTTTTTTTGTCTTTAACCTCCTTGTACATTTCACCCCCTCCACCCCTCATCCATCCCGACCTCCTGAAGAGAGAGCAGCGAAAGAGCCTGAGGGAGCTCAGAACGTGGCTCGACCAGCTGGAGAGTGAAGCAGCGCGGGCGCAGGAGACCGAGGCCAATCTTGCTCAACAGTACCAGGTTGGTGCGCGTGTCTGCGTGGGTGTCTGTCTGCAGTTTAAACCGGGGACACCAGACACAGGCGCTCCTATTATTAGCTTAATCAGTGGCGTTTCACTGTAGGGATCAGGCAGCCGTCATAACACTCAGTCAGCCTCGGGGATACATTTCATATTCAGCAGCAGCATGGAGAGTATCTTCATTTCTTTTGCACAAGTCTGAAAACTTGAAGACAGAAAAAGGCAGTATGTAGCAGCATTTTGCCCCTGATTTTATTAAAAATCTGATTAGATGTCAGTGGGAAGAGTGCATGATCAGTATGAGTGAAATTATTCCATCGGTAGTGTAACACCAGGGTTCAGACTATGTAAATGATTCGATTTATTTTTTCAGCTGTTTAAGAGCCTGCACGTCCAGGTGGAGATGAGGCGGAAACAGGTGGAGGGGGCTTTCCAGTCGACACAGAGAGACGGAATGCTGACGGTGGACCAGGCTCTGGTTAAACAGGCATGGGAAAGAGTTTCCAACAGGGTGAGAGAAGCTCAGTCTACATTTGCTGAGAAACACGACGTAGTTGTCATGACAACTCTCTTTGCAAAGCATGGCATGTTTGAATTTCATGAATTTATTTTTCTTTATTTTTTTTGTAAGCCTCTTTCAGAAACACTAACTGATACTTGAGGAATTATATATTTTATTATAAGACTGCAGTATGAATGCTGAGTGTTAAATTACTACTGACATATGCTGAAGACGCTAAAATTGAGTTGGTAAAGCTAAACCACTAGCTAAAAGCTAAGAAACATAACACTATAGTAGAAAGTACCAAAGTGTTCAATAAATGTAACAAAAGACTCGCTAAAAGCTAAGTCTAGCAAACATTAAGCCAGCTAGAAGGTAGAAGTAGCAAAAGGATAGCTAAAATCTAAATGGGGGAAAAAAGCTTTAACTATCTAGAATGTAAAAGTAACAAACAGCTGTGTAAAATCTAAAAGTAGCTAAATGACATCTGGAAGCTAAAAGGAGCAAATATTTAGCTAAAACATAAAAGTAAGAATTGATTAGCTAAACATATCTAAAAGCTAGTTAGAAGCTAAAATTAGCAAAAGCCTAACCAAAAGCTAGCTAAGAGGGAAACATCCTGATGCCTGCTCAATAGGAGGAAAACGTAACAAAAGAGTAGCTAAAAGTAACAGAACATTAGTTTGTTTTTTTTTTTTCTTCTTTCGGCTGCTCCCTTCTTCAGGGGTCGCCCCAGCAAACTAAGTCGCACGAAGACATGGCAGTTATTTTACGCCGGATGCCCTTCTTGACGCAACCACAGACCACCGAGCTACCACAGCCCTCTGTGTGGAGCAGAGAGCTGCCATCTAGGACACCCGGAGGAGCAGATGGTGGGGGTTAAGGGCCTTGCTCAAGGGCCCAGAGCGGAACAAATGAGGGTGGGGGCAGGAGTGGGTGCTTCACCTACCCCACCCACATTTTTGATGTTGTCTGTACTGGGGCTTGAACCGGGGAGCTTCTGATCACAGGCCCACCTTCTCTAATCTCTGCGCCACCACTCTCCTGAATAGAACATTAGCTAAAAAACTAAAAAAATAGCTGAACAGTAACTAAAATCTAAAAGTAACAAAAGTCTAGCTAAAAGTAATAACGGGTAGCTAGCTAAAAGATAAAGGTAGCAAAAGCTATCCAAAAGTAGCAGAACAATAGCTAAACACCTATAATAGCTGAACTGTAGCTACATGTAGCTAAAGGCTAGCTAAAAATTAAAAGTAACAAAGGCTAATGAGCTAAAAAGCAAATGTAGCAAAAAGCTAGTAACAAACTAAAATGACTGAACAGTAGCTAAAAGACAAAAAGACAGAAATAAAACAAATGAGCTAAAGCAGATTTCATTGGAGAATTTATTTGTAAAAAAAAAAAAGACAAGTATTTTGAAAAACTATAAAAGTTACAACAACAACAAAAAAAGACACAGCACCGCGATGAATAAACTGAGCGTTTTGATAGATGAGTGGCTAAAATAGAATAGCACAAAATATGCAGAAGTGGTTTGCAAACAAGAAATAACATCAGGCACTTTATATGATTAGTATTACATTGTGGTTTAATTTTAATTTTTAATTAATGCATTTTATTTTTGACTAACACATATTAATAAAACCAGCAAGCATTCTTGAAATATTCACTTGAGCTTTCTTTTGCTGGATTGTTGTTAAATAAGTTATACTCATGATGAGCACACCTATTAAATGGAACAGTTGTATCTCAGCTTGTAGACTGGCACCTTCAGCTGGACCGGTCCCTCCCAGCTCCTCTGGACACAGTCGGAGCATGGCTGCACGAGGCTGAAGGAGCCCTGCGACATGAGATCGTCGTCCAGCAGGCTCATGATATCACAGCAAATACTGTACACAGAGCTCTGGAGCAGCACAAGGTCAGCATAGAGCCCAAATTCATTAAAATATTTGACTGATCAGTAAATAAATATTTAAATGTGTATTTTGTCTCTGCTGTACATGTGCAGGATGTGTTGAAGAGCCTGGAGAGTCACCAGCAGGTCTTTCAGAGAATTCATAAAGACAGAAGTGTTGATGGCGTCCCTGTTCCACCTGACCAGCTCCAAGACATGGCTGAGCGGTGAGTCGTGAATGTACATTAGTAAAGTTTGAACCCCCTCACGAAACTATACAAACCACATTTAATTATTATTCTTATTTGCAAAAGCTGAAGCAATACACGAGTGTAAATATATCGGTCGAAAGTCTTGTATACATTTTGTTCTTTTTGACAGGATGAACTTTGTTTCTACGTCCTCCAGCGTCCACCTGGCAAGAATGGAATATCTGGAGAACAAACACCACATGCAGGCCTTCCTCACACTGGTCGAGTCCAAACTGAAATCCTGGATCATCAAATATGGCCGCCATGAATCAGTGGAACTGATGCTCAACAACTATATTGTAAGGGCTTGTTTCAGTTTGATTTCTTCTCTTCTAAATAGCTGAATCTTTAGGGTTCTTTTAATGTATGCCTTGCAAAGCTTGCGTGTTTTCTAGTATTTGAGATGTTTTTTTTTTTTAAACTTTATGCCCATTATGATATTATTGCTATTCTTGCGTCTTCATCAGTCGTTCGTGGAAAAGCAACGTTTCTTTGACAAGTATGAGGTGATGTTTCAGTCCCTGAAAGAGTCTGCAGAGGCTTTTACCAGTGTGGACAATTCAGGTGAGAATTTTAAATTTAATTTAAATTTTGAAACTTGGCACTGACAAAAGACTAGCTTAAAATTGTGCAGAAAGAAAATCTCAACAGAGAACAAAAGAACGAGAGCTCAAATAACTTGCATTCTTATTAGTGTGTTTGATGTGTTTATGCTACTATAATACAAATTATACTAATATAAAAGTTAGATAGTGATGTTGTGTAATCAGTAATTAAACAAGTAAGTAAAACACAAATCAATAAGTTTTATTGTGCTGATTCCAAACCGTACTAATGAAGCTAAAATTCATTTAAGAAAAGCATAATGTTTGTGTCTGTAGTATGACAATATAAGAGATATATATGCATACAATATTCACGAGTTCCTCATCTTTCTGACTGTGTAATGTCGTGCATTGAATTTAACAGAAATGTAACGAGAGACGTTATTTATCTTTGACCCATCAAAATGAATGCGGTCATTTATTTTCAGAATCAAAATTTAACATCAAACATTTACATTAATTTGGCAAAATATGAAAATAATAACAGACAAGTTTCACAGAAAATGAACTTCAATCACGCGGCGGTGACTGAGGACTTTGCTTCAGATATTTCTAAAATATCTGTACTGATTTTATGAGATAGAGGAGAGTTTTAAGATGAAATGGAGATTTATCTTACAGAGAGATATGTGAGGGAATTAATCTGTTTGACCAGAAATTGCACGCTCCATCAGATATCAGCTTGCCCACGGTACACTTGGTCGAAAATAGAACCCTCTACCTGTTGATGATGAAATCAGCGTCGGAGCAGGTTCCTTTCTGACTCTTTTCAGCGTCTCCGTGAGAACTGCCAAACCCTCAGAGAGTCGTACGTGGTGTTCAAACAGAAATTATAATCCCAAAACGTCTCTGGATCATCCTGAACGCGTTTGCACCCAAGAACTCTGAACTCCTTTCATTCTTCAGAACTTCTCAGACTCTAACAGAATCTTTCAACTCCAGCAACTCTCTAGTTCTTCATCTCCTCAGCCTCTGGAATTCTCTGGAATTCTAACATGAACTGGGAAGTTGCCACATTTTAAATGGGTCGACTTCCGGTTCATTTGAGAGCTTTTGATTGGTCGATGGACCAGGAATAGAGGTGTGGTGTATGATGTAAGATGTTATTAAAAATCAAGGATTGTTTAGTAACGAACAGAAAGATTATTGTAGGACTTCAGACTTCGTGGAGTCTCACACTTATAATCTTCTGCAAAAGTTTAAACATGACATCTTTCTCGGTAAACATTTTAGTTGACCGAAAACCGACCTTTAACATACTTACATTGCAGACAGAAAAATCAAGAAATGCATATTAACCTGATTTCTTCTTTGAATGAGGAATAAAAATCATTACTTACTGTTTATGTAAAATAAAAATGAGTAGTTCTCTTCAACCTGTAAGCATTGAGTGAACTAACACAATTTTGATTATCAAACATTTGTAAAACAGTGATGATCATAAAAATTGTCTTTTCTGCTTGATTAATTCAAGAAAGAAAGTCACCAGATGGCTCAGACTGTATTCAGATCAATGAAATAACAGTCCCTGTCCATCTGATAGATTTGAGGTCATCAGGGTCAGATCAG